GGTTTGCATTGCTGGTACCCAGCGGTCACAGGTCCGATGAGAGTGAGAACTGGAGAGTGCTGGACTATCCCAAATCATCAAAGAAGGATGAAATTATGTTCAGGAGACTAATTAACTCAAGGAGAAGGCTAATGTACTGTGGAAAATAATTGCTAACAGGCAATCAAACAAAAATGTTCTCTTTGGTCTTTACCTAACATGAGGTTGTATTAACTAGACCATCTTATTCCCTAAGCGTCCCCAAGAACCAACATTTTACCTCACTAAAATAAAGTATATACTAGAGAGAAACTGCAATGATAGTCATATTTTATGTCACCTGACAAATGTATTTATCACTATAGCTAACACGGAGAACTGTGTACTTTTGCATATCAGCACACATAGATTTCTCTAAAGACTTGCTCAGTGCTGTGGTCTCTCTGAGAGCCTTTTCAAATTCTCTCAATAGGATTGAGCATTTCCCGATCTGTGGTCTCCCTGTTCAGTGTTCACATTTATGTCAAAGCACTTTCTTGAACTTACATGTTCAAAACGTCTCCCTTGTAGGTTCTGAGCTCTTCAGTGCAGAGCTTGCCTTTTTCACTTTTTGTATATTAAAAACTTAGCTCATTTCGTGGCACATAGTAGCCATTCATTCAATACCTGTCATAAAATAGTTAGAGACCCCAGTGAAGGAGGCCTAAGTTACAGTCCCTGGTTCACAGGTACTTGCTTCTTTGTTTTCAGCAGTGCTGATTTAGTGATGCTTTCATTTGTGTCTTTTCTGCGCTCCAGCACCCACTGCCTGCTGAGAAGCAGTAATACATTAGAGGTAGGTCTGGTATCACTTTTACAGACAGGTGTAGAACCAGAGTCCTAAATAATTATGGCATAAGAGGTGAATTTCACCCCAGCCGACTCTTGTAAAAAATCCTTTTTCACACTCACATTTTTGACTTTTCAGTCTTCTACTTTGTTGTCTCAGTAATTAATTGCCCCATTTTCCAAAATTACCACTTTTCCCATGTGTATCTCTTTAATCTTTTTTACATTTCAAACCAGACCCCAACTTTTACCTCCATGTAGTCATCATGCTGATCAAAATATTTGTGTGTACGTGTATGTGTGTGTTTGTGCTTCTTCGTAGCCTGCGCCTGCCTTCCCTCCAGCTCCCTGCTGTCTCTCACCTTGCCACTCTCGACACTGCAACATGGATCGATGGGTCCGTTTAGAGCCTTTTTTTAGGGAAGGAAATATGACTCTTAAAAAAAATGGCGGAATTGATCAATTGTATCTCGAACATGCATTTTTACCTTTCAGCACCTCATCCCCATCTTTACCTACTATTTTTGAATCTCTTCTACTACCTTCTATAAAATAAAAATGTCTCCTCTCTAATGTATGTAACATTTGTTCTTTAAAACGTCATTTTTAAACACTCCTTTTAACCAAGAAATATAAGGGTCATATTCATTTCCAGGTCCTATTTGCCATTTTCCATAGAGTTAATTATTGCCAATCATGATTATTTTTAATTGTGACAACTCTCATCTAAAGTGTTACTGGTTTATAGTATCAGCACTTTTACTAAAATTATAATCTAGTGTGCATTTGTTTAATTTCAGGAAAAATAAGAATGGTGGAAGGTACTTATAGTTCCACGAGAAGTTTGCCAATAAAACTTTAACCTCTTATGAGATTCATGAAAAAGTCATTTAAATCATTAAACCATAACTTGTGTTAAAATAGTTTGAAATGACAGAAAATTGAAATAATAAGAAGTCCTGCCAACAATGGATAGTTTAAAAATACCCACCTCTGCCTGCCTGTCTATCATCTATCCATCTATCTCATCATAGCTGAACGTGACCTGTGAGCTTTGCTTAGCTTAGTGATTTAGTGATAATAACCTGTAAGCGTTCAAGAATAAATATCTAATGCCAAGAATTTTTTCTAACAGTAGAAAGACTAAGAAACCGCTGATAGGAACAATAATAATCAAGCTTATCAGGCATTGGTTGGAAATAGGAGGTAGAGGATTGGAAAATATTTTTAAAGAACTCTTCTAAAACTTGCAGGTAACTAACAAGATTGTTACCTGCAAGGTAATTTTTTCCCTCCTTTTAGGAATGTATGTTACATGACCTTAAGATATTTAATAGGGTCTGTTAACACTATTTTCTGAAAACTTGTTGGTTGTATTGAATATTGAGTTTTCATTGCATGGTGATTTTTTATGAATCAAGTAACCTAAAAGTAAAGTTGAAGAAATGAAAATCTCTTCTCTTTTGTTCCATTGTTTAATATTGTATCATGTGAACTGTTGGTTTCTATGGAAGAGGAGCAGAGCGATCATACTACAATCTCAAGAGCTGTGTGGGGAAAGATTTTTCTTTTATTTATTTATGTTATTATCATTACTTTTAAAAATCCTCACACAAGGATATGTTGATTTTGGAGCCGGTGGGGGAGAGAGAGAAGACAAGACAGGACAAGACAGATAAATACTGTTTGGTTACCTTCCCTATGTGCCCCAGCCGGGGATGGAACCCGCAACCCAGTTTTGTGCCCTGACCACCTGACCTGGATCAAACCTGCAACTTTAAGGTGGTGCAGGGCAATGATCCAATCCACTGGGCCACCTGGCCAGAGCCAATTTTCTTTTATGTTTATGAAGAACCTATGAAGAAACTAAAGCACAAAAACTTGCTTAAAGTTAATGCAAAAATAATTTTCTGAGTTGTTATCTCCATGTTTTTATTATAATAGTACCCATAATCACCTCCCTTGTAGAGGCCATTACTGATTCCAATTTGCAGCAAAATGATTTGTGCAAAACCTCAGAAATGGGTGTCATATCTTTCACATTAATATCATTGAGATCTTGGCTTTAAAATTGCTCCAATTACCTGGAAGTTTCTTTGAGGTAAAAATATAAGTAGAACACCATTATCATTGCTTTTTTCTGTTAGGGAAAAACCAGACATCGAAGTCATGAATTTTAAATCATATGACAGAAAACAATTTTTGAATCCTCTTATTGAGGGAAAAGCAGAATCTTCCATAATCTAAATTTCCAGATACATATGCATGTCAGGAGATGAGCATTTTCTACTTCCAGTAGCCACAGCCCTGGAAAGTGAGACGGAAAAGCCGAGTCAGAACTGGGAACATTGCCCGGTGACGACTTGTCTGGGGCTCACCCGCCTGCTGTTCTGCCTGTGGAGGTCGTTGGTAGGGATGAGGACTTCTGGGCTGGCTGTTGGTTGGGTGCCTCTTGTAGTTGCTTCACCACTGGAAGAAGTGGATATCAGCGCTGACCTCCTGCAGATTACCTTCTCCTCTCCCCTTCTTACCTCTTAGTTCAGTGACCCTGGGATTGCCAAACATAGTGACTGAACAGTGCGACTAACTTTTTCTATATGTAGCTAAATCTGTAGAATCTGGGCACATTGATGTCTTGGGTGAATTTTGCTCAGAGTGCAAAGTGGCTCAGTGACTTATTTATTTTCTGCAGGAGGCCATACTGTCAAGGTGTAATTTGGATTTTTTCAAAGCATTATAACTTGATGTTATTCAAAAAGGAGATGCTATTTGGTTTGTTAGAAAGATACATATAGTTAATTATTCATTATCTTATGGAATATATATTTTATTCCATTGTTGCTTCCTTCCTCCCTTCCCCCCTTCCTTCCTTCCTTCCTTCCTTCCTTCCTTCCTTCCTTCCTTCCTTCCTTCCTTCCTTCCTTCCTTTCTTCCTTCCTTCCTTCCTTCCTTCCCTTTCTTCCCACATCGCCACTATTCTCTCAGTGTTTAATCAGTCATGCTCTTTGGCTTCATGAAGCTTTAAGTTTTGAAAACTGTACAGCTTGTCAAGTGTCATGTTAAGTGCCAGCAAAAGGCAGATTGGAGGCAAGAAGAACAAAGTTGAGAATGAAAATTAATGTAACATTTGCTTAATAATTTGCCCTTTGCAGCAACAGAATCTTATCTGACCACCCACATTCATCTGGTTGCCAATGTGGTTCTTGCTTCAATTGCAGAAGCTATTTTTGCACCTTTTATGTCTTTTGAGGAACTGATGGGCCTCCTTGCTTACAGTGATTCATGTCTCCATGTGAACAGGGTGTCCCGAGGTGCTACTGCAGGGATGTGCAGAAAGGAGGGGCAATTAAAGCAAGCTTCTTCCTTTAAGCATTTTGAAAGCTCCCATGAACTGGTTCTGGATTAAAGTGCATTCAAATTGGCATGTGTTGATGCTTTAATCCTTTCTATGGGACAGTAACTTTTCTGGAAGAAAGCAGTGTTTTAAAAAATTAACAAATATACAATAATTATCTAGGGGGAGTATAATAATATTTTATATGGGCCTTTTATATTTGGAGGTAAATCATCTTGAGATGGTTGATGGATTGATCTGTTTGGATTAAGTAATTTAACTGAACTTCCATGCATTTTGGGGGGGATCAGGCTTGGGTAAATATAAATTCTTAGTATGAGAAAGTCCTTTTCTTTGCTACTTACTAAGGTTTGTTAAGTATCAGGATTTGCCTTTGGTTGGTTTTGGCTTCCTATTTTAGAAATTAATTTTAGCACAGAACATAACATTGCTGATATAAACTGCAGAAAAGAATTTGCTACGAGGATCTGAGACTTCATCCTGTGGAGTTTCATTGCTGATGCACCATAAATTTTGTGAGAATGTCAGCTTTAGTGCAGAAGTGTATCATGGACTTCACTGGTGTAATTGCTAAGTTAAGTTTTACCTTTAGCCTTATTTTCCTATGGCCTCTGTTCTTATTGTTGCAAGCAATTCTCTTTTAATACATATACTTATCCCAAAGATTTAAACTATGTTCAAAGACAGAAATTTTTTTCTTGGGATAAGAAAAGTCTTCTTGAGACATCAGTTCTATTTTCTCCGCCTCGGGGTAGGCAGTTTCCGTGAGTAAAGAACGAGTGTGCCTATGAACTCCACTTCAAGAGTCATCATTTTAAATCTCCTGTTCATCTTTTAGATTCCAGAAGCTGTACGTGAGTCCCTGTGGGAGAGTCGGCACCATGGCAGGCGCAGACGGTTGCGATGCGGTTTTGTGATGTGAGGATAACAGGTTAATACTAAATTTATTATTTATTCTATTCTTTTTACATTTAACTTAATAAGCAGTTTTGGACATGATGCACCCATACATAAACTAACTTCGTAGTCACATCTGGGAGGAAAAATGTATCTGCTATTCACAGAGAAAAGTGGTGTGATTTGTTTTGGCTCTTAAAAAAATTATAGACCAGTTTTAATTATAATTTTTTGAATGAAATAACCTTGTTTCAAAGGATCTTTCTGGCAACTTTTCAGGTAAAATTCTATTTAGCAGTAAATCCTAATTACTTTTGCTTATACATTCCACCAGAAAAACAAAATCACAATTATAAAAATATCACAAAACAATTTATGAGAAAATATTAAAAGTAGTGAAACACAGTCAGATCATATTTTTCCCTTTCTCCAAAAGTTCTCTGAATTGCTTGGCAGAGTTTTATGTAATATACAGTATCTTCCTCGTATCGGCAACTTGCTTATTTTAGGAAGAGCTGAGGTTGTTATGGGAATTTTTACTAATAAAAGAAGCATTTATAATGAATTTGGCTCTCAGGAAGGTGCCTGTTTTTTCCATCATCCTGTGGAAATAAGTCTGTATTCAGCTGGGTGCTGGCACAGGGCATGGTTTTTTCATGGACCCTTTTTTCCCTCATCCGGGAGGCATCCGTGGTGGGACTCGTGGGCCTTCGCTCAGAGCGACAGTGCTCTCAGACGCTCATGTGTTTCTGGAAATATTGCGTGATTGATCTCTGGCATTTGAAAATGAAATATATGCAAATGGCTTCTGAAATTTTGCTTGCTAGCTACTATCATAAGACGTAGGCTTGTTTACAAGTAAAATACCACTCAATTCTCCAAAAAAAACCAGATAATCATTTTAGTTCTTAAGAATATTTCATTATTAAAATATTGGAAGTGGAGGAGTAGTGTCTGGTGCCAGTCATTTTATCCATTATTATTTAGGATGTTATTATTTAATGCTCACTTGACTTCTGCCACCACTCAAGTAATGATTAATTTCCTGAGGTGAAGTTTTTTTTTCTAAGATAGTGTTTTTCTAAGCAAAAGATCCCAGATGGACAACCCTGGACACTGTGGGCCTTTATTCATCTGCAGAGCGAGCCTGCCCTCCTGCCAGCCCCGCCCAGCTGCCATCCCGAGGAGACCTCTGTCGGGTCCATATACGGGGCGCTGTTTCTGTGCCTGTCCTCTCAGGGTCCGCTTGAGCACACTAGCTGCCCGCTTGCCAAATTTATTGGAGTGGGACTGTGAAGAGGGGCCAAAGAACAGGGCTCGCTTTCAAGGAAAATGGCCACTCTTCCATGCAGTATATCATCTTCTTTTCTTTTGCTCAGTTCCTTTAGTTCCATTGCCACAGAAATAGCCGTGTGGAGGGTAATACCTTTTCCATCACAGCCCCTCTCTGAAAAATGTGCTCAGCCCACTGGATTGTGCCTGTCTTTACAAACAGGTAGATTCCCATGGGCTGGAGCACCTGCCACAGGAAACCGGAAGTCACATCCTCCAGCAAAATAGCTTTCTCTTTCTGTAGCACTGAAAGACATCAGGAGAGATTTTAAATGGGAATGTGAAACTGTGTTTGGAATACCTCTCCTTTGTTGGCAGTGAGTGCCAAAAATGACTGTGTGTGGGTTTGGTTACCATAAAAAGGAATCTCAGAGAGTGAAATGATAACCAGCTGCTTGTATGCGAGAGTTGCTCTAGTACTGCATTTTTTAAACATATAGATTGATTGGGAAAACTGGAAGTTTACTTTGAACAATTAGAGTAAATAAACAGGGAAATAATCTACCCAGTCACAGAGAAGTGATATAGCTATAATTAACCACATCACTCTAGATCTTTAAAGCACTAGGTAGATCCGTATTGGGAAAATCAAACTAAAACTGCAGGTGTATAGAGTGGTATATTTGATGGTTTGTAATAATGTTATGAGATCCAAAGAAACTGTTTCCCAATCTATAAGCATTTTCATACATTTAAATAATAAGACAGAAGCTCAGGAATTTATACCGTTGTTGGTAGAGTTATACTACTAAGTAAAAGTGCCACCGCACAAAACATGACAAAATGGCCTGATCAAATTTTGGATTGAACTTGGAAAGTCTTACGATTTTGAAAGTGAGTTTCTTTTCCGAAATAGAAGTTGAGGAGAATAGCAGAGACTGTTGAACACTCCCAAATCCTCTTGGTGAAGAGACAGACAGTCATGCCCTGGAATGGGTCTGGGAACACAGTATACACTGCAGAGTTCTCTCAGTTTCAACCATAAAGCAACTGCAGGCAGGCGGTTAATGAAAAAAGCCCACATTTTTAATGGCTCATGAATAGGATCAGTAAATCCCCCAAAAGACTGACGACTCATTTTCTCTCCCATCTACCTTTCTCTACATGTCTCAGAAATTCCAAAAAGGAAACTGATTTTATGGATAGTACTTGGTGTTGGAGAGAATATCCTCAAATATGTTTAAAATCTAATATAAAGGATTCACGTAAAAAAAGTTTAAAATCGAATGCAAAAAGTTCGTGGGAAATAGTAATGATTTCCAGTTCCTGAGTAATATTCTTCCCACTGACGTGAGAATTTGGACAGTGCAGCTCAGATGACGGCAGAGCAGAGCGACCCCCGGTACTGCTGGGAGCTCCCCCTCAGCCACAGACAGGGCTCTTCCTGAGTGCCCAGGGGAAGGTGATGCGGCTGGGGGTGCCATCTGATTTTGTGATGAAGTGGTAGGACGTATTAGGTAGGTGTACCTTAGAAACTTGAAGAGATTTTTCCAACAGAAGCTATTTGCATAATTGAGTCAATGTGTTTTTTTACTGGGATCAAGGTTCTGAATTTAAAAAAAAATTCTGGATAACAAATGCTGTTGGAGTACAGGATGATAACATGGTAATAGCAGCAAAATGGACTGTTACCTTTGTAATAAAATAGTTTATATTACTTTTTCTGATTAGCCTCCTTTCCTAAAAGTTTAAATCCAAGAACAATTAACTAGATGTTTAGATCATTTTTGTTCTGACTGTTGAAGACCTACTTTTAAATTTTATATAAATCCCTTTTTCATCTTCTGGTCTATTCTTTAACAGCAAATGGTTATTGCTATTTTTTATGAATTTTATTTGATACATCTCTTTCATGTGATATGTCCTTAAGAATAAGAATTATATGTGTCTTGCTTATGGTGTAATGGTTTTCATTTATTACTGTAAATTATAAAAATTAAAACCATCTGATTTATTACGGTATCTCATTGCAATGGAAATATTATATTCTACTTAACAAATATATTATCTCAGTCCTGTTTTTCATATAATTTTATATATGAAGTCTGTGTTTTAAGTAAAATTGCAATTCTATGTAAACTAACAAATGGGAAGCAACCATATCCCTAATTTTCAGTTGGGTGAGACTCTTATTTTCCCTAAAAGTAATGCTTTTAAAAAAATTAATTTTTATGCAGTTTACATTCAATATTAGTTTATTTTAGTTTCAAATGTACAGTGTAGTGGTAGGATGGGCATATACTTTCCAAAGTGCTCCCCCTGATATTCCCAGTACCCGCCTGGTGACACATCATTATCACGATATTATTGACTGTTTTCTGTGCAGCACCTTCTTCACACCCCCACGACTATTTTGTAATGATCAATTTGCACTTTTTAATCCCTGCACCATTTCACCCAGTCCCCCTTTTTAATGAATAAAGTGAGTGAAACAGTTGTTTGCCGTGGGAATCCATCATGTTCTCATAGGGAGCTGTCCTCATCGATGCTTTAATGTACACGTTTTGAACATTATTTAAAGTATGGATTGGTTTGATGTCTAGGAAATGGCAGTTTTTATACTACTGCAAGACTCATGTATTCTCCCGCACAGATGAAAAATGTAAGCATTAAAAATATCAGAGTCAAGTAGAAATATCTAGGAAAAAGTGATGGATTATATTAAGTTTTGATAACACTTAACAGCAGAGGTGGGGCCTCCTAGGCTTGGAGGTGCACCAGACCTGGACTCGATTTTGGTCTGATGCTCAACCTACCTGAGGATCATACTCAACTGTAAAATAGGTGTAATGACACTAAGTGCATAGGGCTGTCATGAAGATCAAATAAGGTAATATGTATGTAAGTCTATACCAGTTGTCAGCATACAGTAAATGCATAATAAACAACCAAAATTATTGTTTATAGCCATGGAACTGTGTGCATATATCAATGCCATGATAAAATATTAAATATGAAAAGTAACCTTGATATTATTCAGTTCAAGCTTTGACTTCTAATTAAGGAAATAGTTGCAAATGTTTTTGTCTTGACTCGAAAATACACTTTATTTCCATTTTAGAAGGTGTAACTTACCTCCGAAAGTTTGACAAAGGTTATATCTATAAGAAGCTTAAATACTTAGTTAAGTAAACAAAAAATGTAGCCTATTTGGAGTTGACATTGCGTGTTCTTGCTAGCGTGGTTGCTGGCACTGGTTGAAGTTCGCACTGTGGTATTACAAGGCCTTTACTTCTCTTTCCATCTTTGCCTTATTACCTACAGAGGGATGTGTAGGAAAATCACCGTGGGGGGAAATTCAGTTCACTTTTTTAAAAACCTGGGTGAATATGCTGATCGTTTAGTTTTTGCAGTGATTCCCTTACAAATCTTCATGGCTCTCAGCAGCGGCAGGATCTTTTGATGGCAGATATCTTGCCACCAATACCTGTGCCTACTCATTTCTCATCCCAAAGCCTTCTTATTCCCATGGGAATTTGCATTTCCTTTCCCCTTTTCTAAGTGTAACTGCTGTTATCATTATTACATTGCCATTCTGTATTAGGGAGCAAATTGGACGTGGAAGTAAGACTGTACCTGAGAGTTAGTTCGGGAAATTGTTGTACATTTGCATCTTGTTTTTCTAAACAATATTTTATTAAAGAGATGAGCATGCTTGGGTTAAAAATATAAGCAAAAATATAAGCAAGTCATAAAGTAAAAAGTAGAAATCCCTTCTTACCCCTCCCTCTGACTCCCTGGTCCCACTTCTGCTCTTTAACTGCTGTTAAAAGCTGTTTGGCATCTTTGCCTAAATTTTCTGTTTATTGCCCATTTCTCTTTTACACAAATGGGATTATTAAATACAACCTAGGGTGCAATAAGCATTTGTTTACATTCAACCTTACTGTCTTTTGGACGAGTTTTTATGGTGATACTCATAGCTGTCCTTCATTTTCTTAGATGGTTGAGTTTTATGATGGAGCTGTAATTTATTTAAGCAATTCTTGTGCACAATTCCTCGTGCGCTTGCACAGGTCCATCTGTAAGGATAGAATCCCAGCAGTGGAATCCCTGGGCCCACAAGCATGAGCTTTTCTACTTTGGTAAGCACTGCAGTGTTGCCTGCCCAGCACAAGTGAGCACTGAAGTGCTCAGAATCCTCTGGGGACCGCATGGGAAATTTGCTTATGGAAGTTGACCATCGCTTGAAGCCTAATAGGTTCTAGGTTGTTGAGTTCTCCACAGTCATTTGGAAGAATCCTTTACTTGCTTGTGATGTACATTTCCTAAGGAGGAAATGTATTCTTTTAAATACTCAGAACTATAGGTTCAAAAAGAAAACTGCTATTTTCAACTTTTTACTGTCTAAGGGATTGGAACCAGGCCAATTGTGTCAAGAAAACTAAGATTTGTTTCATATACTAATCTTATACCTTAGAACATATTACTCCGAAGTTTGTATGCCTTTTCCTCTTTGGATCATTTTTAAACACCATGTCAGTGTAATGTTACTGCTTTGTTACAGTGTAGTCTAAGAAGTCACCCGCTTTTATTCTGTAGGACACGTAGTGTTGTGAGCCCTGGTGAACATGGACTTTAACTTGGCACCATGTGCCGCTAACACTGCAGAGTGTTGCGATGTAACGCACAGGGCAATTTCTCCTGACAGCATTTGTTTTCCCCACAGGAAGCGTCAAGACAATCATGCCCAGGACCACTCCACACCACTCAGGTAGTCATCGCACTTTTCAGCTCTTCCTAAAACGTGTTTTGTTGTCCATGTTATGAAGGTTTTATATATAAGTATTTATTTATCTTGACTTTCCTGCTTTCTGCAAAGTTCTTTGGCAATCATCGAGTCTTACAGACTTAGTCGAGCTCTACTAATCACAGCTTTTAAGCTATAAACATGTCTGTGTTGTTCATTATATATTGTGATGTATTTGTGTGTTTACATAATTATATTACATATAATTTATAAGTCTATATTTTGTATTAAGCTATAAAATATCTCTATACAAAGAAACATGTGACCCAGCTTGATAGAACTTGGTAAGAAATAGCTCTAAAGTTATTTTAATGAAGGCTTTTTAAATTTTTATGATTTTATAAATAATATTTATCAAAAGTTGTTCTTAAAATTCTTTTCTAACCAAAATTAATGTGTATTTAAAAGGATGATCACAATTCAAGCATTGAAGAGATTTATGCTTATGAGTTAATGCTAAGTTTGATATTAATATCCCTTAATTGTGGAAACAATGTAATGGCCATAAAAATTCCTTAGAGTCAAAATCATTTTCAGTGTATCTAATATCAGGCTGGTTATTTAGGGTTGGTTTTGGTGTTTTACTTGATAACTGTTTTTGACAATCTCTTTGCACTTGTTCCCCCTCCCAGATCATTTTATCTCAGTGAAACTGGCCATTGAACTTTGCTCTAGTTGATGGACAAAATTTCTGCTAGACTATTCATCATCCCAATTTCATCTGAGTTGAAAATATTCAAATGCCATAAGAAAATTTCACAGACTTAAAACACTTAGCTTTCGGGCAGACGTGGCTGCAATGGAGAGAACTGTGTTATAGCCCTGGCCCAAGGACATTGCCCCTAGCCTACGGGGTGGGCGTCAGAGGTTGCCAAGAGAAGGCACGCTCAGCAAGCTTGCAGACACCTGGAACATGGCAGCAAGCAAGCTTTGAAAAGCACAGCGTTGGAGACGCTCCATGAGTCTGCAGGGCTTTCCAGCGAATTAGCACTTAAGAACTGTGTAACGAAAATGGACACTGGGGACACAGCTCTAGGACAAAAAGCTACCTCAAGGTCTGGAGAAACTGATAAAGCATCAGGTAGATGGAGACAGGAACAATCAGCTGTTATTAAGATGAGCACTTTTGGCAGCCAAGAAGGACAGCGGCAACCGCAAATAGATCCGGAGCAGATCGGAAACCCAGCATCAGCACAGCTCTTCGGTTCTGGGAAGCTGGCCTCCCCCGGCGAAGTGGCACAGCACGTCCCAGAGAAGCAATACCCACCGCACCGTCCAAGTCCTTACTCATGCCAACACTCCCTCTCTTTCCCGCAGCCCTCGTTGCCGCAGGGGGTCATGCACAGCAACAAGCCACAGCAGAGCCTCGAAGGCCCTCCGTGGCTTTACCCTGGCCCTTTGCCACCTGTTGCCTCTGAGGACTTATTTTCCTTTCCTATCCATGGCCACAGTGGTGGTTATCCTCGAAAGAAGATTTCAAGTCTGGCCCCTGCTTTTAGCCAGTACTCCCAGAAAAGTATCGAACAGTCAGAAGATGCTCACAAGAAAGAGCACAAACCCAAGAAGCCCGGCAAGTACATTTGTCCTTACTGCAGCAGGGCGTGTGCCAAACCCAGTGTGCTGAAGAAACACATCAGGTCCCATACCGGGGAGCGGCCATATCCGTGCATACCTTGTGGCTTCTCTTTCAAGACAAAGAGCAATTTGTACAAGCACAGGAAGTCACATGCCCATGCAATTAAGGCAGGCTTAGTCCCTTTCACAGAGTCAGCTGTATCTAAATTGGACCTAGAGGCTGGTTTTATTGATGTAGAAGCAGAAATCCATTCAGATGGTGAGCAGAGTACAGACACAGATGAGGAGAGTTCTTTATTTGTCGAGGCCTCCGACAAAATGAGTCCCGGTCCGCCGATCCCGTTGGATATTGCAAGCAGAGGGGGCTATCATGGCTCACTGGAAGAATCACTGGGAGGTCCAATGAAGGTGCCAATTCTGATTATCCCTAAAAGTGGGGTTCCTTTAGCTAATGAAAGCTCTCAGTATATTGGCTCCGACATGCTCCCCAACCTGGCTTTAAGTACTAAGGCTGATGACTCCCACACGGTAAAACAGAAACTTGCACTAAGACTGTCAGAGAAAAAAGGACAAGATTCTGAGCCATCTCTAAACCTTCTGAGCCCGCACAGTAAAGGAAGCACTGACTCTGGTTACTTTTCTCGCTCAGAAAGTGCAGAGCAGCAGATCAGCCCTCCAAACACAAATGCAAAGTCTTACGAAGAAATCATTTTTGGCAAATACTGTCGGCTTAGTCCCAGGAACACACTCAGTGTCACTGCCACCAGTCAGGAGCGTGCCACGATGGGCAGGAAGGGTGTGATGGAGCCGTTGCCTCATGTCAACACCAGGTTAGAGGTCAAGATGTTTGAAGATCCCGTCTCACAGCTGATCCCAACCAAAGGCGAAGTCGATCCCAGTCACACAAGCATGCTGAAGTCCACCAAACTCAACAGCGAGTCCAGACAGTCCCAGACTATTCCACTGTCCGTCCGGAATGAAGGAAAACTTTACCCTGCAAATTTCCAAGGCAGCAACCCAGCTCTCTTAGAAGCTCCTATGGACTCTTCCCCCCTTATTCGAAGCAACTCAATGCCAACTTCTTCAGCAACTAATCTGAGTATCCCTCCTTCCCTGAGAGGAAGTCACTCATTTGATGAGCGGATGACAGGCTCTGATGACGTGTTCTATCCGGGGACCGTCGGAATCCCCCCTCAGCGCATGCTGAGAAGACAGGCTGCGTTTGAGCTGCCTTCAGTCCAGGAGGGACACGTGGAGTCTGAACACCACAGCAGGATGGTGAAGAGTATCTCAGGTTCATCCTTGAAGGAAAAGAAATTGATTCCTGGGGACAGGGCTGGCTATGAGTATGACGTCTGCCGGAAACCTTACAAGAAGTGGGAAGACTCTGAAACAGCCAAGCCAAGCTACAGGGACATTTCCTGCTTGAGCTCTTTAAAGCACGGGAGTGAGTACTTTATGGACCCCTCGGTCCCACTGCAGGGAGCGCCCACCATGTTCGGACCTACGTGTGAAAACAGGAAGCGCCGGAAAGAGAAGAGTGTAGGAGATGAGGAGGACACCCCCATGATCTGCAGCAGTGCTGTGAGCACTCCTGTGGCCATAATGACTTCAGATTATGACCCCAAGTTGCAGCTGCCGGAAGGTGGAAGAAGTGGATTCGCCATGGCTGCGCACGACAGCACTTCTCACGGTCACTCAGAGCGCTTTGACCCTTGTCGACCCCAACTGCACTCTGGAAGTTCATCTCTAGGGTCAGAGGAGTTACCATCAGCCACCGATTCAGACAAGGTGTCAGACCTAGGGGGCAGGAAACCTGCAGGAAATGTGATTTCTGTGATTCAACACACAAACTCACTGAGCCGACCCAATTCATTCGAAAGGTCTGAGTCATCCGAGCTGGCGCCTGGTGCACAGGAGAAAGCCTCTTCCCCTTCTGAGACCTGTGACAGTGAGATTTCAGAAGCCCCAGTGAGCCCAGAGTGGGCTCCCCCTGGGGAGGGTGCAGAAGGCGGGGGGAAACCGTCCCCTTGTCAACAGGTTCAACAGCAGGTGTACCACGCACAGCCCAGGCTGGTTCGCCAGCACAACATTCAGGTTCCCGAGATTCGAGTGACAGAGGAGCCAGACAAACCAGACAAGGAGAAAGAAGCCCAGAGCAAAGAGCCAGAGAAGCCTGTGGAGGAATTTCAGTGGCCCCAGAGAAGCGAGACCCTTTCCCAGCTTCCAGCCGAGAAGCTGCCACCCAAAAAGAAGCGGCTGCGACTCGCGGACATGGAGCACTCTTCCGGGGAGTCCAGCTTTGAGTCCACAGGCACCGGCCTGTCGCGCAGCCCCAGCCAGGAAAGCAACCTGTCCCACAGCTCCAGTTTCTCGGTGTCTTTTGAAAGAGAAGAAGCCATTAAGCTTGCTGCACCTGGCAATAAGCAAGATGAGTTTGGGAAGCACTCAGAGTTTCTGACTGTCCCTGCTGGTTCATACTCACTGTCAGTCCCAGGCCACCACCACCAGAAAGAGATGCGGCGCTGCTCATCTGAGCAGATGCCTTGCCCCAACCCAACTGAAGTCCCAGAGACTAGGAGCAAATCATTTGATTATGGGAATCTGTCCCACGCCCCGGTGGCAGGGACATCGGCCTCCACGCTATCCCCATCCCGCGAGAGGAAGAAATGCTTCCTGGTGCGGCAGGCTTCCTTCAGCGGCTCCCCTGAGATTGCCCAGGGTGAGGCCGGCACTGACCTGGGCGTCAAGCAGGAGCAGATGGAGCACCTGCACGCTGGCCTCAGGTCCACGTGGCACCACGCCCCGTCCTCCGTGCTGCCCCCTCTCCAGGCAGAGGACCTAGGGAAGCAGCTGGTGGGTCCTTGTGCCCAGCTGGGCGCGGGACCACTGCACCTGGCCCAACAACAGATCCTGCACATGGATAGTCAGGAGTCTCTGAGAAATCCCTTAATACAGCCAACATCCTATATGGCAAGCAAGCACTTGTCTGAACAGCCACATTTATTTCCACATCAGGAGGCGATTCCGTTTTCTCCGATCCAGAACGCCTTGTTTCCGTTTCAGTACCCTGCTGTCTGTATGGTTCACCTGCCGGCCCAGCAGCCTCCGTGGTGGCAGGCCCACTGCCCGCACCCCCTTGTGCCGCACCCCCAGAAGAGCTACGGCAAGCCTCCTTTCCAGGCAGAAATTCATCCCAGCTACCCCTTAGAGCACGCTGCAGAGCACACTGGAAAGAAAGCTGCTGATTACGCACACGCAAAAGAGCAAACTTACCCGGGTTATTCGGGAGCATCAGGGCTGCACTCAAAGAACCTTCTTCCAAAGTTTCCGTCAGACCAGAGCACCACGTCAACAGACGTGCCCTCTGAGCAGGGTCTTCAAGAGGAGTTTGCCTCGGCGCCTGCCGGGCCTTTAAGGTCCTTGCCGGGGACGGTGGTCCCTGTTAGGATCCAGACCCATGTCCCGTCCTATGGGAGTGTCATGTACACAAGCATCTCCCAGATACTTGGGCCGAACAGTCCTGCGATTGTCATATGCAAAGTGGATGAGAATATGACCCAGAGAACACTGGTAACGAACGCGGCCATGCAAGGGATAGGGTTTAACATTGCCCAGGTGTTGGGGCAGAACGCAGGCTTGGAAACATACCCCATCTGGAAAGTACCTCAAACCTTACCCCTCGGCTTGGAATCCTCAATTCCCTTGTGCTTACCTTCCACTTCCGACGGTGTCGCCACCCTGGGAGGCAGCAAGCGGATGCTTTCTCCCGCCAGCAGCTTAGAGCTCTTCATGGAGACAAAGCAGCAGAAAAGGGTCAAAGAAGAAAAGATGTACGGACAGATCGTGGAGGAGCTCAGTGCTGTGGAGCTAACCAACTCGGACATCAAAAAGGATCTCTCCCGCCCACAGAAACCCCAGCTGGTTCGACAAGGCTGCGCTTCTGAGCCAAAGGACGGCTCGCAGTCGGGGTCATCTTCCTTGTCCTCGCTCTCCCCCTCCTCATCTCAAGACCATCCCTCTGCCAGTGCGCCCCCAAGGGAGCCATTCCCTCCTAGCTCCAGGGCACCCTCTCTCGGGCAGAGGTCCAGTGGGCCTTCTGAGAGCAAGGAGTCTTCGGATGAATTGGATGTTGATGAGACAGCCTCTGACATGAGCATGAGCCCACAGGGTTCCTCGTTGCCCCAGGCAGACAGTCAGACGGCAGAGCAAGCAAGGGGCCAGAAGCTGCCGGTTGGCATGCTGGTCCACATGGCCTCCGGCCCAAGCGGGAAAGCGGCAAACTCAACCCTTCTTTTCACGGATGTGGCTGATTTCCAGCAGATTCTTCAGTTCCCCAGTCTGCGGACAACAACTACTGTGAGTTGGTGCTTCTTGAATTATACAAAACCCAATTATGTGCAACAGGCCACCTTCAAATCCTCGGTTTATGCTTCATGGTGCATTAGTTCCTGTAATCCAAACCCATCGGGATTGAACACCAAGACCACTCTGGCTCTTCTGAGGTCAAAGCAAAAAATCACCGCAGAAATTTATACTCTGGCTGCTATGCACAGGCCTGGAACCGGCAAGCTGACATCATCAAGTGCTTGGAAGCAGTTCACTCAGGTAATGAATGCTGTTCTGAAAGCATTCTGTATGTGGGTTTCATTGCTGACGAGAATACATAGTAAAGGACTGTCTAAAACTTGCAAATAGAATGCAGGTCAGAGTTGGGGAGTCCTGTGCAGCATCAGACTTACCTGTGGGTGAAAGAAGCCACTGGCGTAAACTTAGTTAGGAGGGGCCTAGCAAAAGTTCTAGCCACAAAGCATCTCCTTCACCCAGGTGCCATGAAGTTCTGTCTCAGGGACTAATTCTTCTGGGTCCTCCTCCCTCCAGACCTGTGTGAATGACCTAGCAGGCTGGCTTCTCTTTTGATGTGAGGAATTCAGGAACTTGTGAAGTGGGGACAGAGAGTGGGAGTGGACTCCATCAGGCCAGAGAGGGCCAGGGAGTGGGAACTGAACTTTGCAAACTTCAGAGGGCTGGTTCCCATTGACAGTAATTTTTACTAAAATTTATTTTTTGTGTATCTCTCCCAAACTCATTTTTTTGTCCAAATGACTAGCTGGTCTGTTCAGAAAATGAGTAGTTCATGCCTTACATGTGAAATTAGAAAAATATTAACCAAGGGGCACTTGGGAATTTATGCCAAGTTATTAAAGAAGCAAATGGAGAATTTAAAAACATATTTTACTTATTTAAGTTACCACTTCCCTTCCATGATTTTAAAAAATATTTCCTTAATTAATAAAGATGGCTTTCATCGCTACTTCAGAATATAAAGCATGTTTTTGCAGTTTGTCTTGGTGCTGCACCGTGTAAGTGCTAACACAGTAGGTTTTGAAACAAAACACTGAATTTATTCAGGAAACAGTGTTATTCTTTTCTGATTTTACTTGTATTGTCCCTTCTTTTATGGAAGCAGCCTGTGGCCTGTTAGCGGAATTTAGGCTAATTTTCAGAGATCATTAAAGAGCGGGATCCTTGAGCTTCCCCCTTTGTCATAGAGAAAGCATGTGAAATAATTCTCTCCTTTTGTCCCACAGATGAAACCTGATGCGTCCTTTTTATTCGGCAGCAAACTAGAGAGGAAACTAGTGGGAAATATCTTAAAGGAAAGAGGGAAAGGAGATATTCATGGGGATAAAGATATTGGATCCAAACAAACTGAGCCAATCCGAATTAAAATCTTCGAAGGAGGGTAAGGAAACATAAGGGCAAATGGAAACTGTTCGGTTTTAAGTCGGAGCGAATGGTCCCCCATGTCTGCATGGAAACACTGGTACGTGCACATGTGGGAACCGCACGGCGAGTTCCTTTTCTGTCCACCCATCTGAGGTCTGGCTGGTAACGGACGACAAATTCATGCCCTTGCGTTCGTGACTTGCTTTTAATGCAAGCATCCCTGTTGCCTATGGTTTTGCCTCTGCTTTACATTTTTATGCCTCTAATGTAGTATGAAATTGACTAAGTTGGTGGAATCTTGAAAGTTTTATTTAAAGAGTATTTTTGTCGACATTTGTTGTGTTATTAACGAGCATATTTTTATTCTGGGCTTACAAAAATGCAATCATGTACATTCCTGTATCATCCTAGGAACTAGTTAATATATTGGTTTGTTTTATTGCTTTTATTATTCTCTAAACTCCAGCCTTTTTGGGGATTTCATCAGTTCCATCAATATCCTCTTTCTGCTCCATGATCCAAGCCAGGAGACTGCACTGCATTTCATTGTCATGCTTTCTCACCCGCTCTAGTCTGTGACAGTTCGCTGTCTTTAGGAATTTATTTTTAAATGTTAAATTCTGAGTGGTAGAAAACACTCAGGTTCAATGACTTTGTTGTCTGTATAACTGAGAAAATTTACACATATGCGTAATGTCTACTTTTAGATTTTGATGGAAATGTGTTTTTTATCTAGTCAGTAGGAGACAAGCCCAGATTTTTGCTTTTACAATTAAACAAATATTTACAGCACATTGACTACATTTAGGGGATTTCGATGGAATTAGCATTACCTGTATAACACGTCTATAATTTACATATTTCCAATAGCATGCAATTATTCCAATTGTACTTGGAGGACAAAATAATAGTATCTCTTTGACTATAAAATGTTGACTATTTAGTGATATGAAGTATTGATTTCTCACATAGAGTCCCAGTTTGGACATGGATGATAGAGTTTGCTTCCTTCATGGGTTTGACATCTTGTGGACAGAGGTCCTGCATTTTCACTGTTGTATGTAGTCATGAGGTTTGTCTCAGTATTTTTGACACCCCTCATCTTTTAACACAAATGAGAGAAAGATAGATTTTACCTTTCCTCAGGGACCAAGAGGTCCCTGTGGCTGCCTCACCTTCTTCACAGCAGTGCCCTGGAACTAGGTTAGAGACCTTCACGGGAAATGTACGCTTTGGGGAGCCGGTCGCCACTAACGAAGGACACAGGTGAAAAAACGCATGTGAACGTTTTATCGCTGTGTTTTGATGATCCAAAAGGATTGTGCCTGTAGTTATTTTCTTCCTCCTTTCATTGCCCCATTTCATGGGCTGTATCCAAGCATTTCTCAATCTGTGGCCCACGGTCTGCCTGGTGGTGCCCAGGTTCATGCCAAACAGCATATTATCAACTCTTTATTTTAGCGATTGCAAAATTTATGACTTAAAAAAAATCTAATTTATGTGTTTGTGTTTCTCATCTGATTTATAGTTTTAGAATTTAATTAAATATACCCTTTATTTTTTTCAAAATTTATGAATTTTCACATTAAGTAGATTCATGGGTCTGCAGAATGGATTTGTAAATACTTTATTTGTATAGATTTTTCCAATGTACAGTTATATTTTATACAGACCTTTACTGTATTTTTATTCTGGAAGCAAGTTAGTCAGCTAAGACATGAAAAGTAACATCATATTATTTGAAGGAAAAATATATTCCCCCTTAACTATGATCATGGGCTATAACAAGTTTAAATTATTCTTCCTCCAAGAAAATAAGCTTCCTGTCAAATACTTTAATTCTGTATTTCTTAGATAATTTCATCTACTTAGGGGCACATAATAGTGAAATTAAAGGTGAAAATATTTTGCATATTTAGGTTCTTTTCTACTTTATTACAAAACACAATGTGAGATAAAGAAAAGTTTTAAATGGTTTTGAAGAACAAATTGATGTTGGAAATTCTTGTAAAGAAGGACAGATTTTAAGGATCAGAAAGCAGTTTTTTAAAGATTTTATTTATTTATCTTTAGAGGGGAAGGGAAGGAGAGAGGAAGAGAAATATCAATGTTTGGTTGCCTCTTGTGTGTCCCCTGCTGGGAACTGGCCTGCAACCCAGGCATGTGCCCTGACTGGGAATCGAACCGTGGTTTTTGGTTCCCAGGCCCCAGCTCAATCCACTGAGCTATACCAGCCAGGAGGAAGCATTTTTTAAAATACTACTTAATTCTTACCCAGATTGGTATTAACCAAAAGTAGATAATGTTAAGATTAAAGTATCTATAGCAGAGTTGGTATTTAAATATATGGATGGATTTTTCTTGCTTAAAAATCCTTCAGTGTATTGGATGAATGAAGTTGAGCTTGTTCTTATTCCTGATGATGCATTAGCTAAGACAAATGGAATAGTTTGCAATGCTCCTAGAGTATAAAAAAACTGTCAATCTAGTGCTTGTAAGTCAATGCCGAGTAAATTGAGGCATTTTGTATGTCAGTTTCCCTTTTGAAATTATAAAAAGGAGTGAAATATCTTTACAAGAATGACGTTAGTCCCATAATTCCAACCTCGCTTTGACTGAGGAAATGATAGTATTCAGTGATTTATCCAATAGGATGCTACCCTACCCCATGATAGACCATGTTTCTTTATATTGTAAACAAAATGTGATGTTTGGGCACTATCTAGGTTTTCTTCTGTTGATTATTATATTTCATACTTAAGACTTCATTCATCTGACAAAGTCCTTAGACATTCTAATTGTTAGACGTCATCTAATGATTTCATTGGACATTCTTTCAAACCTCTCAGTTAAATCTTTCTGGAAAACAATTCAAATTTAATTGAAACATAGAATCTCTAGTTTTCATTGTGTAACGTTACCTTCCAGAAGCCACTTGAAATTCAGACTCCACTTGTGTACAGATTCACGGTCCTTGGGAAGAACAGATAAAATCTGTAGACAACAGTTGGTGAGCTCAGCCTGTGTAAGTTAGAAATTTCCAAGGCACTCTCATGCCAGGATTGTGAAAATAGACTGGAAGCTTGCAAAGGAGAATTCTATTATCAGCTACATTAATTTTAGAAAATTTAGAGGAGTGTGTGTTTTGCACATTCACATTTTAAATGATATAATGTTCAGAAGTGATCTATGATGATTTGAACATGTTGGTATACCTTTTTGATTGTGTCTTGGTTGGAAGTTTTACTGGAATCCAAAAGCACTGTTAAGACATAGCTCTGCAACTCTTTGAGGCTTCTATGAGCCCATTTGAATGTCTATACCCAGTTCATCTATTCCAACTTACTAGGAGAGCCAGTTTCATGCTGAACTCCATGTAGAAAAAATTACATTTTGTTTACCATGCCAAATCTGTTATCTATCTTTCAGGCATTTACTGCATAAATTTTATAGGCTTCATAGAAGTTGCATGATTATAGAAAGTCCTTCATAAAAATTTGCCTTGTAAATGACTAGCTTTGGGTTTGGGAGGAACCCAAAAAATGGAATTTATTTATAAAAACTTTGTATTTAGTCTTACATGAGAAAAACTTCAGTTACCTTCAAAGTACTCTCCATTTGATGCAGTACACCTACTCAGTCATTTTTTCCACTGCACGAAACAGGTTTTTTAAATATTTTATTTATTTATTTTTTAGAGAGAGGGGAAGGGAAGGAGAAAGAGTGGGAAAGAAACATCAATGTGTGGTTGCCTCTCACGTGTCCCCCACTGGAGATCCGGCCTGCAACCCAGGCATGTGCCCTGACTAAGAATCGAACTGGCGACCCTTTGCTTCACAGGCCTGTGCTTAATCCACTGAGCTACACCAGCCAGGGCACAAAACAATTTTTGAACTCACCGATTGTGATGCCTCTTAAGTACTCCTGCCTTTTTTTGTTTTACCTCCTCCACAAGCACAAAATGTTTCCCATTGAGGCTTCTCTTCATTTGCGAAATAAGAAAAAGTTGTTTGGGTGAGATCGGGGAAGCAGGGAGAGTGGGGCGCTGGGGCCAAGCCACTCTGTCATATCAGGAACGGCTGAAGGTGCAGCACAGTGGGGGCAGGTGCACTGGTGCATCACCCACTGCGAAATGGGCAGTGCGCTGAGTCTTCAGAAAAGTTCTCTGAAGCTGAAGGTAGCCTCTCCCAACAATGCCAGCCTGTCCACTGATATCCATGAGTCCCCAGAACACTCACCTAGCGAGGGAAGTCTCAGCGCTACAAGAAGCCCGCCGTCTAGAAAAGATAATTCCATTTAGGGGGAGTCCCCCCCCCTTGTACAGCATACTAAAGTACTTGAAAACACACTGGACTGCCTTTTTCAAACAGGTATAAGTCAAATGAAGACTACGTATATGTCAGAGGACGCGGACGTGGGAAGTACATTTGTGAAGAATGTGGGATTCGCTGCAAGAAGCCGAGCATGCTCAAGAAGCATATCCGCACACACACTGACGTCCGGCCTTATGTGTGCAAGCTGTGTAACTTCGCCTTCAAAACGAAAGGTATGGGTCCGATTTTTTCTTTTTTAGAGGAAAATCATGGCTACTTCAGATTCCGAATCCCATTTTATAACTAGCTTTCATTGGCAGTAAGACGGTTTTGTTTGTGAAAATAGGACCCCTCAAAATGTATTTGCTTCCGCATGTAAGTGATCAAAGGATGCATGTGAGACAGCGAGGCTCCATCTGTGACTTAGGTAAGAGCTGCGGAGCTGGACCCAGGCCAGTTGTCTCCAAAGGAAGTGGCTCAGAATTGCCTGGATAGCTATTACTTCACGTTGGAAATGTTATGTGGTCTAGATAATCTTTGCATCAGGACTGAAGCACTGCAGGGACGCAATCCATGCGGTGGCAAAGCAGCGGCAGGGGGAAAAAAAAACATGTGCCCATGGTCAGTTTCAAGGTTATGAATAATGTAGAAATCCACAGACTCCCAGGTGGGCCCCTACATCCACAGTGGCATTAATTATGCATAGAAATTTGATAGCTTGCGTTCTGTGTACTTATCAGCACAGAGACAAATTTCTTACACTCAGGCCACAACAGTTCATCTCATAAAACTAAGACTTGCCTTGAAATGGTATTCTGCCTTTGCAAAAAAAGTCTGTTTTTAATGGGTATATTTATAGGAAAATATTCCACAAAAGGTTGCCTAATTTTGTTTCTATCATTTCATAAAATCATGAAAATGTCCCTAAGCCCAGTGACTTTTGTAGAAGCGCATTTCCTGCTACAAAGGAAGTACTAATGGATCCTAGAGATACCCACTCACTAACTTCACATCATCTCCCAGAGCTTTTGCTTTAAATTTGCTTACCAATTGATCTGCTCACTACACACCGAGAAAAATAAATATCAAATAAAATGACCTCTGATAAAGAAATGTGGGCTTATTTTCTCTTACAGTCAAAATCCTGAGCTGTTGCATAGGTTTGTCAGAGGGATAAATGTGAAGCCTCTTAATGTGTCTGCTTCTTTCCTGTATTAACAAAGTATCTATATTATAAGAATGTCTTCTTTGAAGCCAGAACAAGGGGGAAGGAGTGTTAATTTGCATTTTAGAAGAAATAAACATAAGGTTCTTTAAATATCATTCACTTGCAGTCAAGCCTTTGGTGCAGAATTTCACTCAAAGACTTCCTGGGCGATAAGAAAATGCATATTTTAGTTACAGGATACTGCAGATCTGCCAGTTATATCTTCCCTGGACATAAGACTTGTCTACAGGTAGAGCTCTGTGGAACACTGGGTGAAGAAACACATTTTAAAGATTTTTTAAAAATCAAATTAAATTTGCCTCTGAACCATTGTCCTGGAGTTTAGCAGGAAATAACTTATTCTTCGGCATTTGAGTTTCCTAGTACCCTTTGAGATTGTGCAAATATTTCAGAATCTGAAAATAAGCAAGGTATTATGTGAAACCCCTCCACCTTTCACCTCCCGCTGAAATACTCGTCCAAACCCAAGGCATCTGAGCTCAGCTCAGGAGCAGGCTTCCTCCAGGCCTGGGCCACTCCTTCTGCTCTCGTCCCTGCCTCCTCCCAACCGCCCTTCCCCTCCGTTCTCCTTGCTGGAAGCCCTTTAGAAGATCAAGAACCCCATAAACCAAAGCCAGGGTGGGGTTGTCTCAGAGCCACATTTCTGACTGTAGACCTTCCCTAAAGATGAGCGCTCAAAGCCTGGCCACCTGCTTGAAACCGCTGGACAGAAAAATACAGAAGAAACACATATTAAGATCTAAATACGTTATCCTGACACACCTAACATCCATACCCACCCCCATGCACAACTCCTTGCTGCCTTTCAGAAGCAGATGATTTCTGTTCATTGATAGATGTATGTCATTAATTTACAGATTTTAGACTTCTTCATTTATCTACAAAAACATTTGAGGTTTTTTTTAAAAATGCAGTAATGTAAATAAAACAATAAAGAACAGTGTCCCCATTTAGAATTGTGACTCATATGTTACAATAATAGTAAACTGAACACCCCTGCAAGGAGAACAACCTACGTCAGCAGCCTGAGGATTCCCACTGAGATGCAATGAGCCTGTTCGTGAAAATCAGGCGTTTGCTGGTAGACGGCCAGAGCAGCATCAAAGGGCATGGACAATACTGTGGCCCTTACAACTGAATTGGTTCCCGGATCTCTTTTGATGAGCTATCTATATGACACGGAATAGGATTTTTTTTCCATAGATCCTAAATCAAGAGTGATTGGATCAGTATTTTCATAGTTTCTCGCACGACTTACAGCAAGGATATAAATCTATAGGAACATACACACACTTGTATGTATATATACACAATTGTACACATATCATCATCAGCATCATCCATATTTGATGTGAAAATCTTTTTTCTTGGAATGATGGGAGTTCCAGAGAACATGAAGGGGCGCTCCTGTGCCAGAGAAAACGGCTGTCATCGAGCTTGCCAATGTGACTGGCAGAGAGGTGCTCAGAGCTGAGGGGGACACTCTGGATACATAGGAAATATTTGCGTGGTCCTTTGAATTCATTTACAGGGTTGCCCCTAACATCAGCTTGGATATTTTTTTCCTTCCGACGTGGTAGGATGCTGTGAGTCTAATCTATATCTGATCATTGCCAGAAGGGAAGGGGTCTGGGGAGGGGCATGTCAATAATATTTCACTCTGAAGTCTCTCTGCAATGTGTGACCCAGCGTGGCTGTCTGGAATGTTAGAAGGCTGGCCGTTTGGGTCAAAGGTATTAGATCCTTTGTCACCCAAGAGAACTTGAGATTCCCAGTCATGCTTGCAGCCTGCTCTTGAAAAGGTGTGACTCCAGACTTGCACAAGTCCAGCAGGTGGGAGACAACCTGAGCTGGGCCAAAGCCCTCATTCATTGGTATCTTCAGAAAATGGACTGGGTCTCTTAAGTTTGAGGTGAGGGTAGTGGATGGAAACAAACCTCTGTTGTCCCAAGCGAGTTCACTTTGCATCGAATTTTGGAGCAGTCATTGCATTTGGGCAACAGGTTAACTCCTCTCTCTCTCCCCCCTCCCTCTGCTTTCTAGGAAACCTGACGAAGCATATGAAGTCGAAAGCACACATGAAAAAATGCCTGGAGTTGGGAGTCTCAATGACTTCAGTGGATGACACGGAGACCGAGGAAGCAGGTATTTATCATTTAGTTGACCAGCCGGTGCACTATGCATGATGCAGCTTTGTGGCCAAAATGGCAAAAATAAGTTTAGATAGTTTTTAAAGACTGATTACACTTCATTGTATTAAATACTAAATATGGAAAAGAAGTCCAACACATTGAATTGTCTGAAAACCTACTGAGAAGAAATGCATTTCAGTTCAGACCTAGGGAGGGGACAAGTCTTACTATGAAAATATTTCTATCTGGAACCATAAAGGAAATCTGATTGTTGCACTTTTGTTGTGATAGTGATTTAAATTTTACAGAAGTTTCTGGGAGATTTGGGAAGCATTCTAGTCTCTTAATTTTCCCATTAAGAGGAAATCTAGTAGAAAAGAAAATCATCATTAACCTCAGTAAAAAAACCTGAGGGTCAGCCAAACCCTCTGAGATACAGCACTTATACATAAGCTGATACCTATAGAGACAAGTCCGTGCTTTTATTTTGCTTCTGCCATTATCACTAAGAACATTATATACCCACTTGTTGAGGGTTTTCTTGTTTGAGTGGTGCGGTGTCTGAGATATAGGCCCCACTCCGGAATTTTTATTATTAGAAGTGGGGATGAAACCAGGTAGGAACGTAAAGTCAAGAGCCAGTGCTGCCTCACAGGAGTGGGCGTCCGGCGAGTGTTACAGGAGTTCAGAGATGGAACTGTCTCTAGGGGCTGCAGGGATGAGGACAGCTCTTGGAAGGAGACTGGGCCTAAAGTAGCTCCCGACCTTGATATTTGGATCTTGATCTCCGCTATCTTTGTTCAATTGTTTCAGAAACTATGGAAGATTTGCACAAAACGGTGGAGAAGCATAGCATGTCCAGTATTTCAACTGATCATCAGTTCTCAGATGCCGAAGAGTCGGATGGTGAGGACGCCGATGACAACGATGATGATGATGAGGATGATGACGACTTTGATGACCAGGGTGATTTGACACCAAAAACCAGATCGAGAAGCACCAGTCCCCAGCCTCCTCGATTCTCCTCCTTGCCCGTGAATGTCGGCGCCGTGCCCCATGGGGCTCCTTCGGACAGTTCCCTGGGACATTCTTCATTGATCAGCTATTTGGTTACTTTGCCAAGTATTCAGGTTACTCAGCTAGTGACACCAAGTGACTCATGCGAAGACACCCAGATGACAGAATACCAGAGGTTATTCCAGAGCAAAAGTACGGACTCGGAACCGGACAAAGACCGGTTAGACATACCCGGGTGTATGGATGAAGAGTGCATGCTGTCTTCAGAGCCCAGCTCCTCTCCAAGGGACTTCTCCCCCTCAAGCCACCATTCCTCACCAGGCTATGATTCTTCACCCTGTCGCGATAATTCACCAAAGAGGTATCTGATACCCAAAGGAGATTTATCACCCAGAAGACATTTATCACCTAGGAGAGATCTATCACCCATGAGACATCTTTCACCAAGAAAGGAAGCTGCACTGAGAAGAGAGATGTCCCAAAGAGATGTTTCACCAAGACGGCATCTGTCCCCAAGGAGGCCGTTGTCACCTGGGAAAGATATCACGGCAAGAAGAGACCTCTCTCCCAGAAGAGAGAGAAGATACATGACCTCCATAAGAGCGCCATCTCCCAGAAGGGCTTTATACCACAACCCACCATTGACCATGGGGCAGTATTTGCAAGCAGAGCCCATTGTCTTGGGGCCGCCTGTGAGTATAAGTAACGTTCTCCTTTTAAGGCCTCAGACACGGCACATGGGGACCTCTTGATAACACACTAGTGTGGGAATTCATAAAGGAGTCTCCCTCATGGGGAGGTGGGAACTTGGTTACTGTAAATAGCAGGAAGGAAGGCATTTTTATCGAAGCTGTTGTCAGTAGCGTGGCAGTGGCGTCGCCCCAAATGTAGTGTTGTGTCAGCTGCAGTGCATTCCAGCTGGGAACAGGTGAGGCCTTTTGGAGTGCTTTCCGAGGTTAACTAATTATCAACGTGAGCCGAAACTTCGACGTGAGTAGAGAAGATAAGGTCTTGGGAATGTCATGCTGCTTAGATAGGCAGTCTTGGGAATAAAGTTGTCATAGTTACAAACTCTTTGCTCAGTAGAGAGTCTGATTCAGTATTAGCTTTGACTTTTAGTAAGTTTTTTTAAATAAATAAACTCATTACCTTGCTCACAGTGAGTGGACAGGTGAAATTAGTGAGGGACTGGGAGAAGAGAGAGTGACCCCCTTGGTATGTTTGTAACTCGAAGGCCGGAACGTATATGCTTTTCTTGCTATTTCTGCCGCCTCCTGCTCACCAAGGGCACTTGCTGAGTGAGATGGTGGCCCAAAGAGAGTGGAAAGTTAGAAGAATGAAAGGAGAAAGTATCAGAGGAAATTGCTACAGTACCCTCAGTATGAGTTAACAGCAGCAACAATCATGAGTTCAGCTTAGGCAGAAGCTTTGGTGCCAATCCTTTGAAAAGCACATGCCCCGCCTCCTGCCACAGTGGGGTAGACCTCCAGGTCTCTTTCAGTGTGAGTAGGACTTACAATGATGAATGAAGCAGCCAATGAACACAGAGGAATGCTACCTCTTGAGTTTGCTTGCTTTAAATGTGACTTTTTGTTTTGTGGTCTCTGTTCTCTCTTCGCTCTGAGTTTCTGCCATATGGATCAGCCCCGCCCTTCACAGCTGAAAGAAGCACTGCCCGCCCCCAGCCACAGTAGCCAGGCTCCTCCCTGCTATCACCTTTCCACCAGCCTGAATCATAAGCTTAGGTTGTCATTCTTGAACTTCAGGATAGCCCCCTGCGGCATTCCAGTCACCTGCCCACAGCACCCTCTCTTCACAAGCCCACCACCAACTTAGTGTTCATGGTGTAACTACTGCAGAAATATAATTTATTTGCTAGGTTAATAAACTAGCTAGCTAAGGAAAAGGAGGTGCCTTTCCACAGGTTTTTGTGTCTTGGTGGCTTTAAATATGAAGGAGTGAGCTTCAGAATGCAATGCCGTTGAAGTGTAAATGAAGGGTGATGGATCCCTCAGGTGCCTGGGCACTGCAGCTGGGGTGAAAAATGCTTTCTCCGATGGAGACTCAGCGATGCCTGTGGACTGCGTGAGAAGAGGCCCCCTGTTCTGGTAGTGGGCAGGCGGGCCAAGGCTGGTGTGTTAGTGAGCTGCGGGAGCATATTCAGCCCCATTGTAACCACAGAAAATAAGCATTTAGTGCCCACACACTATGTTATTTAAAAAAAATAGCACTCACAATCAACTCAGACAATGGAATTGGAGGAGTGGGCTAAGGGATTTCATCTGGTTTTCACATATATGGCCAATTCACCTAGATATTTATGAAGCCCAAGTGCTGAGCCTTTGGTCTATTACCCAGTTTAATTATCTTTCGAGAATGTATAGCCGGCTGCTTTGTCTGCGTGATTCGAGAGGATGGATCTGGGAATCCTCCCTGAATCAGGGGCAGTTGGTCCCAAACACTTCTGCGCTTTGTCACGCTATTTTTGAGGGCAAAGGAGGATTTGCACCTTTCCGTGAGCTGCACGTTAGATTCCTGTTGCCAGAGCCAAGTAGAACCGACAATACCAATGAGAATTATTTCTCCCCATTGCTTTATTTGATGAGTGCTCCACTCTCTCTGAGTAATGTTTGAAAATACTACATTGGGATGACCCTAAAATAGCCCTTTTTGGTGGAAATGCTGTTAGCCATGCCTTGTCTTGTTGCTTCACTTCCACCACAAGACAGTGGCCACGGTGTGAAGGGACCCTGTAGCTCAACATGATCCCTCCCTTGTCCGGTTCAGTCTGAGCAGCAGGCCCTGGGGGGCACGTTCGGAGGAGATGATGTACAGTCACTGGGTCCTGCTTCCCTGCTGTTTCTGCGCTGATGCCCCCTGGTTAGTTTCCATTTTAGGCTGGTTGGGTGGCTGGATAGATGGATATACAGGTGGTAGAATTAAAAGGCAGCAGTCTTTTTCATTCAGTAAATATTTTTGAGGGTCTCCTTCCTATATATGGCTGGAGAACAAGGGTGAAAATTGTATGGTTTCTGCCCTCATCTTTTCTAAATTAAAACATTTCTTTTCCATCTTTAAAGATTCAGTAGATAAATAGCAAGGTGACAGAAGAGTGTTTTGGTCCTTGGTATGTAGCATAGATGGACATTGTGTCCAGTGAAAGAGTCCACATTCAGTCCTGTCCCCTGATCGCTGTGTGATCTTGGGCAAGTCTGAACCTCTGAACCTCTCTGTGGTTGGTAGGGAGGTAGGCCAAGTAGATTTCTGTCCCAGAAAGAACTTGCCATTCAGCTGTAAGGAATGCAGTCAGCTGACAGCTGCTGTCAGCTCCTGATACACCTCAGTTTCTCAGCCAAGGCCATGCTCTCTGCTGCAGCCCCAGCCAATGGCAGAGCTCGGATTGGTCACAGCTGAGCTGAGCACCTGCTTCTCTTCCTGTCACCTTCACAGGCATTAGCTTGTCTGTTCCTACCCCCACATCCACACACACACCAACCAGTGAACCTCTGGTTATGCTCCTTCCTCCTTCCCAGCATTTGCTTCCAGAGGACCCACTGACACTGCTGAGAAGATGAGCGGGATGATGTGTCTGATACACACACGCATGTAAATACGCACGCACTTCACACAGCCCACGGATTAATTCCTTATTTGTAGTTCCGCATCAAGATGGGAGCTTGTTCACCACCTCACAACAGCAAGGCCCAAGTTACAGAACAGCATAGGTTGCAAATGGAGTAAAAGCCAAACTAGTAAGCCCTTATTGAGAGTTATTTGGAGGGCGAAGGAGGGGTGAATAGGAGGAGAGAGGATGTGGGCTGGAAGTTGTTCCCTGGTAGGAGCTGGGCTTGTGTACGTACTTACTTCTGTGGTGGTAACCATCGAGTTTCTGATCAGTAAAGGTCTCAATGTGACACTTTTATTTTTAACACAAATACCGTCTTGTGGGAATTTGGACATAATGAAGAAACCTCAGTTGTGGAAGGCAGCCCACCATTCCCTTTGACAGCCTGAGTGAGATGGAACCCCGCGTAATGGGACATTGTTTTCTCTGTCTCTCTGATTAGGGGTGGACAGTGGCCATCACCGAATAGCAACTGAAAGCAAAACAGAAAGATAACCAAACTACATTCTATTTTAAACTTTGAATTTGTAACAATTGTGATGAAAAGAAGGTTCATTTGATTATTTCCAAAGATTATTATAGGCATTGCAGTTCTTCCCACCTAACTGATGTTTGATGAAGGAAACATGCCTTTTTCTAAACCTGAACCAATACAAGAAGGATTTTTTGGTAGCATATAACGATTTTTTTCTAATACCATAAAATTCTTCCCTGACCTAGCTTATGAGGTCTTGTGCTTATAGGGTGGGTGATTGTGTGATTTCTCCCACACTTCCAAGACAAATCATTTGTTTCAGTAAGTCAGAGCCTGGAGCAGGGTTAGTGGCAAGCATGGCACAGAGTAGCCCAGCTGATGCATAATTCATCATTCCTCAGCCAGTCTCACAATCTAAATAGAACCGGATGAATCATTAATGGTATAAAGCGTACCTTGAGTTTTAGAACTGAAACATTCATGAAATGAGTTAGAACATTTTTTTTGTCTCTTTCCTGGATTACTACCATACTTGACATGTTTACATCTATTTGATTTTAACTTCTCAGAAAATAAGAATAAACGGAGTCTCCTTAGGACAGCACTCCATTAAAAGAACAAATCTCAGCCAGTGAAACTAGATAATCTCATTAAAACCTGATAATCTCACAGTCTACATTGTATTTTTGCTACAGAAATATTTGTAGAAAATGCATTTCTGCAAATGTTCTGGCTGAGACCATGAAATCTGGATCTTTGGCCCCAAATTTTAAATGTCTTGAGTTCATCAATTTCCAAGAAGATGGGCAAATGGAAATAACAGACAGTCGTCTTTGCTTCCCAGGCATGTAGTTGAGTGAGAGTTGTAACTACTTGAAACACTTACTGTGAACTGCACATCTGATGCGTTGGTAGTTTGCTCTGCAAAACCCGCCTTGGTCTGTGATTTGATGAAGACTCTGGGCATCTGCCTGGATGTCTCTTTGTACAAATTTATTCCATTAGACCGACAGCTTGCACTTTGGAGGGGCCAGTTTGCATACCAACACCATTTGCCATTTGCTCTGCAGAATAAAAACTAAAATGGGAATTTTCAGGATTGTTACTTTGATTATACTTAGGGACACTTAAGAAAAATACTAAAAATCTTCCCAGTATATAAACAAAGGCTAATCTTTTTACTTTCTTTTGAGTTTAAAAATCTGTTATTAGTGTTTCTTTTTGCTCAGTAAACTTTTCTAGTAATTATCCATGATTTTCTTTTCATTCTTCCTTATGAAAAAAAAAAGCCAAGCTAAAATGTGTCTCTGTACCAGTAAAAAGCACATGCCTGTGTTTATCACATTAAGGTTTAAAAAGTAACTTTTCAAAGGGCAGCTTCATTCAGAGATTCTAAAAGACAACTGAGAAATCTCTTGAAAGTGAAAAACCAGTAAAAGGATTAGTTAGTTTTAAGATTTTGTTTATTTATTTTAGAGAGGGGGGAAGGGAGGGGGCCGAAAGAGAGGGAGAGAAACATTCATGTCTATCATGTTGTCTGTCTTGTGCCCCCTACTGGGGACCTGGCCCACAACCCAGGCATGTGCCCTGAGTGGGAATCGAACTGCCAACCCTTTGGTTCCCAGGCCAGCACACAGTCTACTGAGCCACACCAGCCAAGGCGGGACTAACTAGTTTTTAAGTGCTTTGAATACATGAATGAATGGATGAAGTAGGTTGACCTAAGCATGGCGAGTAGCGGGTCCTGACTCTCGTGCTCTCTGTTTCCCAACGCAGAATTTAAGAAGAGGATTACCTCAGGTTCCTTACTTCAGTCTCTATGGAGACCAAGAAGGTGCTCATGAACATCCAGGCCCCAGCCTTTTCCCTGAGGGACCTCATGACTACGTCTTCAGTCATCTTCCACTCCACTCTCAGCAGCAAGTCCGAGCTCCTATCCCCATGGTGCCAGTTGGTGGGATCCAGATGGTTCACTCCATGCCGCCGGCCCTCCCTGGTTTACATCCTCCACCCACATTGCCTCTGCCAATGGAGGGCTCCGAGGAGAAGAAAGGAGCTTCCGGGGAATTCTTCGCTAAGGATCCCTACGTTGTTTCTAAGCAGCACGAGAAGCCATCGCCTCACCTTTTGCAGTCATCTGGTCCACCCAGCATGCCCTCCTCTCCTCGCCTGCTGATGAAACAGAGCACTTCAGAAGACAGCCTGAATGCAACAGAGAGGGAGCAGGAGGAGAACATACAGACTTGTACAAAAGCCATTGCCTCTCTCCGGATTGCCACAGAAGAGGCCGCTCTGCTTGGGGCGGACCAGCCAGCACGGGGCCCGGAGCCCCAGCAGAAACCCTTGGAGAGTGCACATGTCAGCATTAGACACTTTAGTGGACCTGAGCCGGGGCAGCCCTGCACCTCAGCTCCCCACGCGGACCTGCATGACGGTGGAAAGGACAGTTTGGGTACATCACAGACTGCGTTAGCTCACGCCACATTTTACAGCAAAGGTTGTGCGGATGACAAGCCGTCAGGCTTTCATGGCAGCAAAGAATCACCTTCAAGCACAGAGGAGGGCAGAGAACCTTCGTCAGAGAAGAGTCAGCTACATTGATCTAAGATGCATGGGGACTTCCATTTCCACCTTTTCTTATTTTGTTTCGTTTTTCTAGAAATAGAGGTAATCGAGTTGATAGCATGCCTGTCCTAAGTTACGGTAGTTTGCTATTATATATACTTTTGTTTATAGCAAAAGAATTAGGAGAATTAACAAGTCATCATGAGCCTGACCAAAACAAAATTTGAAATTAACCTATTGGGTCTGGTACTTTTAAAATTGTACAGATGTTTGTGCCTTTTCTTTACTTTGCTTATATTCTTATAAGCATTTTTTAGCAGTAATTTGTACATATTTTAGAATTTGTGTATCTGCTTTGTAATAAATGTAATTTCTTTCCTTTTTTGGACACTTGGATCTAAATGATGTAAAGCAAAACAGCATCAATATATATGTGAGGTTGCACTAAAACATATTTTTATATGATTAAAACTGAACAGCTTTTATGTACAGCTCTGATTCTGTAATACTAATATTTATTTACTTTGTTTCATAAATTGTACATTTTTTCTTAATGTTGTGGATTGCTTTTCTATGTGAAGCATGGGATTTACTGTTGCATAACTAGACAAAAATGTATATTGTAAACAAGTTATTTAAACTAGAGTATCTTATTCTGCACTTATGCATTAGTTAAGAAAAAGATAAAGGATGTATCAGTCAGTTCTTAACTCTTGTAAATTTTTTTGACTCTTGTTTGCTGGATTGACGATAACTTAAGTGCTGATTGTGATTTTTAAACTGATAGTACCGTAAAGCATTAAAGTAAACAACGTGCTATTGTGAGTTTTTTCAAAGCTTTATAAATCAGTTATAAATAATATTAAAAGTATTTGGTCTTATGTGAACATGTTGATCTATATACTCATCTAAAAATATGGGAAAACATTCCGCCCCATGTAAATATGTACAAGTGCATCACTGGTACAATTTTATGTAACTCAGTTGGACACTAGGTTACCACAGACCTATGCTAGGGTGTCTTTAAAAATTAAAGTGACAAAGCACATGGGACTGTGTAGAGCTTGCTTATCGGCCGGCCCGGTGGCTTGGCAGGCAGTGCTGTGCGCTGCCCGTGGAGAAGATCTGGGCTTAGAAATCTCCTTGGTTCTTGCTGCACGCGATGGTGACTGGAACTAAGGCTACTTAAGAGGGGTCGCACTTGGACTCTGAGGGGTGGGTGTGGAAGCGGGGAAGAGGCATGGGGACCTGGCTGCTCACAGCCCTTCCCGTCAGCCAGTCCACACGGTGACAGGGTTGGCGTCAGCTTTAGGAGAAGCCACTTTACCCTTTGGCAGAGGGGAAGTGTCGCACTTCTGGCTATCTCAGGGGGAATGGGAGGAAGAAGCTTTCCGGGGGGAGAGAACTCGTGGGAGCACGATGTCTTTTGTATGTAACATTCACAACGGGCTTTGGGGAGTGTTGAAGGCGGGCAGAGCCTTTGCAGGTCCAGAAGAAAGGAAGGAAGGGAGGGTACAACAACACGCGCACGCACACGTGTGTGTGCACGTACGCACACACAATCTGGGTTATCTTTGTGCTATATAGTGGATTATAATTCTGTGAAACCAAGTTTGTATATTGAATTACATTAAGGAGTGTTCTTTAAAAAGAGAAATAAATATACAATTACATGCTTGAGGTGTCTAGTTTTTATGTGTTGTTTTACATTTTAATTTCCCAATTTTTTTTCTAAAGGAATTTTGATGTTACCAACACGCCATCTGTGTTTTTTCATTGCCAGGCTCTGCCCGTCCTGGGGTACGCTGATAGGGATGCTTTTAACAAGTGAGAAGACTGTCATTGGCTTTCATGGCACCGATTAGGGCAGACAGTGGTCACCATGGTGAGAGCTCCAGAAGTGGAGTCATCGGAACCTGATTGTGGGCCCTGGCAGAATACACTGTACAAGAGTCATGAATAAAGCAAATGGTTATTTTCTGCTCTGCCTCCCCCCCGCCCATTCAGTGTGCACATGTATTTGACATTGCATTGAGGGAACCTCTTCTCCATTTTTGTCAAGGTGACTGAAGGCAAAAACCAACTGAAATAAGTATATCATAAAATATCCACATATCGTGGTTCTTTTATTAACAAAAGAGTAGAATGGTTTTAATAATGAAAGTAGAAGTATTTTAAAGGTCAAAATCTATTAGTATTGCCATTATAAGAACCCTCCACTTGGTGGATTTACAATTTAACTATTTTTGGTGTATGAGCCCGGCTATCTCTTTAAAGTATGTTTTACGAAGGCGAATTAAAGGTCGACATAGCCAGCCAGGCTAATACATCTGGCTCTCCTGGAGAAGAATCCTTGAAACATTCAATTACGTGGAGTAGTGTGTAAGTATTCCTCTTCCTTGGAGGGGGGTGTGTGATTCCAGGCCGAATCTAATCACTCTTTACCTCCTCCTCTCTAATTTGTCTCATGTATTCACTCTCTCATAAGACAGTTTAAAACAGCTGTTGCGTCCTGCTCTGAACTGGGTACTTTGATGGGCATTTAGGATGAATGAGAGTATCCCTGCCACCAAGGAGCTCAAGTGAGTAAGAGATGCATTCTGTAAGTACATGTGGACAGTGTGATCATAGTGCTAAAATAAAGGTGTATTTGGTGTGTTTTGTAATCACAGTGGAGAGGGCAATATCCCTGCTGACAGTAGGAGGAGGGGTGGGCAGGCTTCATTACAGAGGTGGCCTTAGAACAGGTCTTTGAAGGTCTTTGAAACAATCTATTGACTTACGCATTCGGCGGATAAGTTTTCATCACCCACATTGGAACACTGTTCTATCTGTTAGGTCAGCAATACTGCACGAAACAGAGAAAGTCCTTACCTGAGTGAATCTTATATTCTAATAGGGTCAGGGGCGTAATAAGTGTAAAGGGCATGTTAGATAGTCCCAGATAGGCAAAGCAGTAAGTGGGTAAAAAGAGAGGTGTACCAGGTTCCCTGGGCACGTGGCAGGGTGTTGTGTGGTTAAAGCTAGAAAGGCACATCAGAATCCAGTCTCCTGATCTAGGCTAAGGAGCTCAGATCTGGCTCCATAAGCAATGGGGAGACAAGAAAGGATGGAAATAGGGAAGTGGAATTGACGTTGTCGTTATTTAGAAAACAATCGCTGTGACAGCAATGAAGATCGTGGATTGGGGGGGGGACAAGGCATGTGGGGAGACCAGTTGGGAGAATTGTGAAGCTATGGCATTTCCATTGAAATGAGGGGATCGACAACCCAAACAGATAATCAAGGCATGGATAAAGAAGCGATATTTTCACTTCATGAAGAGGAACTGGTAATAACTAGTGACTGATTTGTGTCAGAGAGGAGAGAGAAGGAGGAGGTAAAGATGTCCGAAGTTGTATTTGTACAGTGGAAAGAGTGGTGTTATCAACCAACAAAGAAAGTGGATTTATAGTAGATGCAGGTACAGGAGACTCACCCTTATCCACAGGAAATAGGTTCCAAGATCATATGACCCTAGATCAAGTGACTAGGGGCAGGTAGTGTCTGTCTGCAGCACGAAGAGTCTGGGCAAAGGGCTGATTCACGTCCCAGGTAGGACAGAGTGGGACTTCATCATGCCACTCAGAACAGCACACAATTGGAAATTTATGAACTGTTTATTTCTACATTTCACCATTTAATATTTTTAGACTGTGGTTGACCCCATGTAACAAACCATGGAGAGGAAAAATGCATAAGGGGGTAATGGCAATGAAATGAGACCCCTAAGCAATTCAGCTGCAATAGTTAAGTCTCAAGAAAGTCTCGAGTTTGAGATTGAGAAATGACCAGTTCTGGTCACTTCATCATAGCAGCGGATGCTGCCTTGGATGAAGTCACTCAGGGCATCAGGAGGGGTAGAAGAGGATTTGGGGACGTACACAGGGAGGACAGGGAACTTGGGAGTTGACCAAGAAGACGTATTTCCAATGACAGCACATCTCATGTCTGCTGAGCCCTAACTGTACATAAATTTGTGAGATTTTTGAAAACTTGATTTTTGTAAGGTTTCCATGATAAACTCTACAAAGCAAATCTTAAGAACATCATTTTAGGAGGAAAAAAGGCCACTCTATTTATGGGATCCTAAAACTGTAGTGTTTACGTAGTGGCAGCTTTATTATTAAACAATTAGCGATTCTTAAATTAACCTGAATTTATAAAGCTCTTTGCCAAAGCCTGTGGCTCAGATAAATTAGGTGAAGTTTTCAAGGAGAAACAAGATCACCCCGCTCCCTGCCCAGATTTGCTTAAAGAACAGTTTCTGATGATTTACACTGCTCATCGAGACCAGTATCCACTCGTGACGATTTATGGTGACAGTGCCAGGGCTGAATGATCTCGAGGTAACAGAAAGCCCATTTCTGCTCTGATAACAGGCTATTATTCATGTAGAATATGCCACTAAAAATGTTTGCATCTACTTTGTCACAGGTTGTTTGGCATCCTACAGAGCATGAAAATGTTCCTGTTGATTCCTGAGTGTAGGGGAACTCAGCTCGCCCTCTAGATTCAGTGATAACCAAGGTTTGGGCATGCCGTAGCTGTACTGAACAACTGGGGAAGTGACAGAAAATACTTTATTTGGCATTTAAAAGTGCCAAGGAATAACAAGTAGAAGGTAGCAATCTTCATTTTTCTAGAACTCTCTATGGGTCATTTTCTAAGTACATACCATTACTTAGCAGTAACTGGGATCACATTCAGAAACACATGCTGGTCATCAAAATGAACCAAACCATCAGCTGTCTTCTCAGTTTACTAAATACTTAAAATGTATTCCAATTCAGGTATAGATCCCTGGCGTGTTTTATGCTTCAGGCACATTCCAAGCTTTGCGATCTTCTTGAAATTCAAGTTGAACAATTATGGTTTGATGCGAATAAAGTTTATTTGCAACAAGCAAGTAGAATAACTAATAATGATACATTTTATTAATTCACTAAAAATCATGTTATTGGATAAAATATTCTAAAATAAAAGCCTTTCTATTGAAAATATGTCTGAGGAGTCATGAAACGGAATTAGTGATCCAACCATATCCACAAAGCAACATGAAAAGTTGGAGTGGCTTTGTGGAAAATGAAGAGGGAAAAAATTAAAAAGGGGTAACAGGACTTCTCCGGGGGAAACAAAGTGTGGGATTACCTCAAAAACTGGTGGCTACTGACGTCTGGACAGTGCGGCAGCCGGGAGGCTGGGCCCTGCACTTGACCTGCCCACCAAAGCCATGGAAACCTTAGTCCTCACAGGTTCGGCCCTTAGACAGCCAAGTCCCAGCTCGGAGAAGGGCAGAGACTGTGTGAATCATTAGTCCTGAGCATCTCTGCCCTTAGCGAGAATCTGTCTTGAGTTCCAGGGCTGATTGTAAATGAGCAACCCTCAATTACAGGAATACTTCGTCAGGATTTAAGGGCAGATGATGGCTTTAGACGTTGTCGTTGTCTGGGGCCTATTTCCTTGTATTGGGACAGCATCCCAGTGTGAAAGCATTTTTAGATAATGATGAAGAACTATGTGCTAGCGCTGTTTGGGGTGCATTAGTCTATTCACACACTAGTCACAAAACTGAGAGGAATGATGTGCTTATGTCTACACAGATGCTGAGTAGAATAGAGCAGGGGGTGGGGCTCTAGAGCACACTATCCAGTAGAACTTTCTGCCCTGATAAAAATGTTCTGTACCTGCCTTTCACAATCACCTCTAGTTACCTGTGGCTACTGAGCACCTGAGATGTAGCAAGTGTAATTGAGAAACAGGATTTTCAATTTTATGTAATTATACTTAATTTAAACCTTAGTAGCCATATGTGGCTTCCTGGTTTCTGAACAGGACAGCCCAGCTTGTGAGATCACACATACTTTTGTCACCAGCTGCACCACATACCTCCTTTCGTGTGCCAGGCTCCCTTCCCGGTGCAGGGTATGTAGGAGTGAAACCAACAGCACGACCTCTGCCATGATAGAACTGGTGTTCAGTGCTTACCATTAAACATCCAGTTAGATTTGGGTGATGCAGTCCTGTGATCACTCGTCTTTCTGTTGAGTTTTGGACCCTGGAACTCACCCAAGGAATAACAGCCAACACATGATTGTATGAAGAGGTAGTCAAGCCCCTGACAGGCAACCCCTCTTCCTCCTGCTGGAAATCTCTGTTACAAGGTAGGATGAAGGATGCATCACAGCCTCAGATGGATGCGAGGTCTCCGCTTCCTGCCTTAGTGTAAAGGCACCCTCTCTTCCAGGTCTATGGGAAAAGAGCCCCGACTGGGCTCCCAGGAGGGCCTGACAGCCTACGCTTCTGCACAGGAAACAGAGGCCTGTGGGAGACAGCTGCCTGGCCCCGGGCCCCTGCAAGCCCCACCTCGCATTTCTGATGACCAGGAAAAAAGTAAACAGGAGAGCAGCAAAAGAAAAGAGTCAGCCTAAGGTTGAAGTCACAGCGCAGCTCTGCCATTTCTTCTTCCACAGTAATAAAGAGGATGAAGAGAGGGAAGAAAGGGAGTGTCCCTTCCTGTTAAGTGAGAAACACAGGAGAAAAGGCTTCTCTTTCAAACATTTCCCATTGGTCTGAGTAGCCCCCCAAAGTTCACAAGCACACCGTGATTTTTTCCACCCTTTGGAGAAAGATCACCAT